AGAGAAGAGAAGAGAAGAGAAGAGAAGAGAAGAGAAGAGAAGAGAAGAGAAGAGAAGAGAAGAGAAGAGAAGAGAAGAGAAGAGAAGAGAAGAGAGAAAGAAAGGAAAGAAAGAAAGGAAGGAAGGAAGGAAATGAACAAAAGAAAGAAAACCCATGAGGAAACTGATGTTACATACTAGACATTAAACAAATGCCCCTTGAGATATTCAAAGGGGAAAACTACAAAATAAAGCAAAAGAAGCCCTTCTTGCCATTTTACTTCCTAGTGTTTGACCACAACATTCTATTATCTTAAATTCAGGACCTAGGGAACAGAAATCCGTATTTACCTGGAGGCCATCTTTGTAAACATATTCAACTCTTCAAGTCTGAGGAGGAGGATAAAGGATGGTTGGCATAAGCTCCACAGAGTTTAAGAAAACCCTTAAATTTATTCAGGAAAACAAGTATCTCCTGCTTACCAGGCAATGTGCTAAGCACTGGAGAGAACAAAGACCAGTAAGATAGGCCTCTGTCCTCAATGATTCATACAGTTCTTAAGGGCAGATGAAGAGAATATATTTAACGAAGTAAATACTTAAGGACACCATCTAAGACTGACCAGGTCTATAGGTATTTTTAAAAGGTGTGACTCAAGCTGGGCATGGTGGCACACACCTGTAATCCCAAAACACTATGGGTAGCTGAGGCAGGAAGACTGAATGTGCAAGCCCAGCCTAGGCAACTTTGTGAGACTGTCTCAAAAAAGTGGGAGGTAGGAGTAGTACCTGGGGATATACCTCAATGCAATACCCCTGGGTTCAACCTCCTACTACCGAGAAACAAGCAAAGAAGTTATGCTACAACTCACACATACACACACCCAAAATTCTTGTACATGTACACCAGCAAGAAACAGGAAATAAATAGCCAGGTATAGCAGCACATCCCTGTAGTCCCAGAAGTTAGGACGCTAAGGCAGGAAGATAGAGAGTTCCAGGACAGCCCTGCTACACAGCAAGTTCAAGGAGAACCTATATTATATATGGTAAGATGCTGTCTCCAAAAAGAAAGGATAACAAAATGTCTAATACATGCATGCATAAAATGAAACTAAAACTAACCAGTAATTTAAGAAAAAGGAACCACAAAATGTTTTCTTGGCAGCTGAAAAGCAACTGCATTAGACAAGACAACTCACAATTGAGTAAGACAATCCCAGAGATCATTGTGGGCTCAAGGCCAGCTTAGGCTATTCAATGAGTTCAAAGCCAACCTGGACTGTATGGGGGAGGGCCTATCTCCAAGAGTTCTCAGGGAGATTAACAGTCTATAAGAAAGCCCTAAGTACTATTACCAATAATATAACTTCTCTAACATAGTCAATAGTGATACTAGAGAACAGATGTAAAATGAAGTTTCAAGAAAAGCTAAACAGGCCTGTTGCGGTGGCGCACACCTATAATACTAAAACTTGGGAAGTGGAGGCAGGAGGACTGAAGTGGGTTCAAGGTCAGCCTCGGATCAATCTTCAGCACCAAAAACAAAAAATAGAAATTAAAACTTAAATCCAGAGTTCCAGGTCAGCCTAGGCTATATAAGAGAGTTCAAGGCCAGCCTCCACACTACATAGTGAGACCCTAGCCTCAAAAAAATAAAATAAATCAAATCCAGTGCTAGTCTGGTATGATGACACTAACCTATAATCTCAGCACTCAGGAGGCTGACACAAGATTGCTATGAGTCCCAGGCCAGCCTGAACTACATAGTGAGACCATCTCAAAAAACAAAACAAAAATAAATAAATCCAGTATCCTGGCACAAGCTTTAAACAGAGGCTGGGAGAGATTGAAGGCAAAGAGATAAGTATAAATAAGAAAACCATTTCCCCCCGCTTTTTTTCTGGTACCAGGAATCGAACTCACAACCTTGCACTTGCCAGGCAGGCACTGTGCTGCTGAGCTAAATCCCCAGCCCCAAGAAAACTATTTTAATATGAGTTGTTCAACTGAGACATAAAAACCTGACCTAGGTTAATTAATAAAGGGGGGGGGGGAGAAAACCCACTAACAATAAGTAGAGAATCAACTTTGGGCGTGGTAGCACACACATGTACTCTTAGCACTATGGGAGGCTATGGCAGGAGGATCTCAAATTTGAGGCCAGCTTGGGCACTCCATAAGTAAAAAAATGAAAGGAGCTAGGGATGCAGCTCAGTGCAAGAGCCCAGGAATTCAATCCCAGAACTGCCAAATAACTGTGATGATGATGATGAGTGATGATGGAGAAGAAGAAGAGGAGGAGGAGGAGGAAGAATAATTATTGAATCAAGGGTGAACCAGTAATAATTTTGTGGGGGTGGCACCGTAATTGGGATTAAATCCAAAGCATTCCCATTGAGCCCATTTTCACACACAGTCTCACTAAATCACTAATTTGCCTAGGCTGGACTCCAATTTGTAATCCTCCTACCTCAGCCTCCCAAACTGCTAGAATTATAGGCATGTACCACCACTACACCCCTGCAGTAGTATTTTTTACAAAGCATAGCAATAGACATGGTAGGAAAACTAGAAAAGAGAAGTACGAGATCAACCAAAAGAGTAAGTTGTGAAATGGAAACAGAAATGATGAATAAATATCCAAATGGGTAATTATTAAGAAGTTACTCTATGTGACAACTGGGAAAATAAAAGTATGCATAAGGAACCCTTTCAGTATGACAATACCAACAGAAGCCTAAGTATAGAAAAAGTAATTTCTAAAGAACTAGCTATAGGAGACTACCTCTATAAAAACAAATGTAGTAAATACTGTAATTTCTCCTGTGGTATTCCCAAAGTGAGGTAAGTGCTCTATCACTGAGATATACCACCAGCCCAGAAAAATTGTGGTAGTTGTGGGGAGTATTTTTTTTTTGTAGATACTGGGATTGAACCAAACCAAGGCCTTTGCATGAGCTACAGTCCCAGCCCAGTTTTATTCTGAGACAAGGTTTTACTAAGTCACTAAATAGTCCAGGCTGAGCTTGAGTTTGTGATTCTCCTGCCATAGCTTCCCAGAGCATTGGGATTATAGGTATGAACCATGAAACACAAGATT